CCCCGTTCAGGGACTAAGCTGTAGAAAGTGAATGAATTATTACTTGTTTTTAAAAAAAGTTGTGGACGTGCACTACATTGTTGGTCTTGTTTACCTTTATCTGTCTTAATCTCTTCTTCACTGTTCTGTTCAATAAATGCAACATATTTCCAAAGTCAATGAGTAATCGTGTAAAATAATTGTGATTTCAATCATGACCAAAATAATCGTGATTATGATTTTTTCCATAATCGAGCAGCCCTAGGTGTTGGTGAAGCCAGGTACCATTCTGAGGAAGAGCAGGATACACCAGACTCTTCAAGTGAGGAAGAAGCTGTAGCTGACTCTCATCCTGCAGAAAGTGCTGCTGACTCCCAGTCTGAAGAAGAAGGGATAACAGACTATCAAAGTGATCAAGAGGATCTTTCAGCCATTTCCCAATCTGGGGAAAATGGTGTGGCTGAGTCTCAGCCTAAAAATGAGCATAATGGGAAGGAGGAAGAGTTGGAACAGGAATCTGAACAGCTAGAAACGGACTTGGAACACATCAGTCGAAGGACTCGTTTCTCTGAGGGTATATACATAATGCATGTTACAGAGGCAGGAGTGGATCTGGCAGGTAAGATCAAAAAATATAACCTCACTGTGGGAAAATAGAGCTACTAAATAATATCATCAATTAACACATTATCAACATGGTTTGCTTTTAGTTCTGTCATTTACCTAATCAGTTAATTTAACAATTCATTGCTAGTATGGATAATGCTAGGTTTTCATTGTCAGCTGACTATTAAGACACAAGTTTACGTAATGTACATTGTGCATGTATGCATTGTTTGACATGAAACAAAAGGCAAAGTAAGAGCTGGACTATTTGGGGGGGCTAAGGGGTGGTGGTGTTCATGACATCTGAAAGTCATAGCTGTTTTTGTTTGCATTTAGGGTGGTCTAATGGCAAGTCCAAAGCACACAACAGCCTGGAAATGGGAAGTCATGAGAGCAGTCAGCCTCCTACTGGGGTGTCCGACTTACCTGACTCTTCAGCTCAAGGACCGAAAGATGATTCCCATCCTGTGGCCAAGCCTGATGCTGATAAAGAGAACTCCTTTACTCCTCTGGGGGTAATACATGATATTGAAGAGAACGGGTACCTGAGTGACGCTTTACCTGCAGCAGCTGCTGCTCAGGACCCTGCTGAAGAGGAGGAAGAGTCGGAGACCAAAAGATGTCATCTTAGCAAATCATTGATCTTTTTTTTTTTTTTTTTTTTAAATAAATAATAAAAGTAGTAAAACAAGCTGTTTTGTTTATTCAGAGTTCCCCTGCAAGACACCAGCATTTGTCAGAGTGAAAAGAAATTTTTTTCACACTGATCCTCTGGCCTCATCTTGTGTCCCTACACAAGCCAGGCAAGTTGCACTGCCTGCTACACCGAAACATTTAGTCCTTTTGTTATGATAAACCGGATGCATTTCCCAAATAGTTTAAAAAGTAGATGTTATTATTAACTTGCGTTTCTCTGCAGGGTTAGTTTGATGAAGATTTTACTTGTCATCTTTTATGTTGTTTACAATTTCTTCTAATATTTATTGTGCTATTAGTGGTACAAAGGAACCTTCACCTGCAGCTAAACCGAAGCAGGTCAGACTGAGGAAGAGAGGGCCAGCTAAGAAGGAAGTAAGCCTTCCTAAAAGCTACCTTATGGGTGCCTTCAAGCACTTTGCCAAAATGGGGGTCTCTGCAGATGTTTACCCTGTTCTGAAAGAAGTGTAAGTAACTGATTGTGGAGGTTTGAGCAGAGTTGGTAAAAATTCAACAACAAGTGGATTGCTAGACAGTATTGAACTACTTAACTGTCACTATAAAGTCTTATTTTTTTAACTTTGTCACTGTAATTTTAACTGCATGTCATTGTTTTGAACAGAATGGGTCATTTCTTTAAGCGGGTGGCGGAGGACTTGGAGACGTATGCAAATCATGCAAAGAGAAAAACCATAGAGGTTGAGGATGTTGAGCTTCTGTTGAAAAGGTACGTGCGTTGTGTGCTGGAGTGGGTGTGCCTGTGGTTTTAGAGCATTAATGATTGATTAGACATTTTTAATGTCACATCCTTTCAAGAGTCATTTAAGGGTTTCTGGTAAAGATACAGAGAGAGAAAAAGGGTGGCATATACAGTATTATAAAGGTAAAAGGCTTCCTTGGTCAAGTCAAGCTGAGAAATATGATCACAGATTATTTACTATGTCTACATTTCAAATTAAAACTCTAATATGACAATTTCATTGTGACACACTGTCATATATTCTTTTGCTATGTTTTGTCTATATGCTCCATTGTGTTTGCCAACTAGCTGCCAACTTTGTCTGTTATTTAGCATTGGGCATGTTGTGCACAGTTTTTTTTAACTGTGGTTAGCTAAAAACAACTACCTCCTGTGGTTGGGGAAAGAAGCTGATGAGAGCAATGCAACAAAACAAAATTTGTGGCCCATAAACCCTAAACATTCGGGTGAGAGAGAATATGAAACTGACAGGAACTGTAGTTGTAAAATTCTCAATGGGATCAAACCCATGAACATTACACTGTCATTATACCAACTAGTGGGTGGAGCAGTTTTAACAAAGCAAAATAAATGCAGCAGTCACATCAGGATTCACTTAAGTGTTTTTTTACAGTCCCAAACAGACCCAAAACAACATGACAACAAATATTGTATCGGATTAGGCAATGAACACTCCTGTGCTAGGATTATACTGACCTCTAGATGGAGAGCTTGAGCTCCCTGTTTAGTCTGAAAAAAGGACAGCTGATTTTGTCAATAAAGAAACAACTCTTATTCTGAAACAACCTGCTAATATGCTGCACTCATCTATAAGAGCACTCATCTTGCCAGTAGTGTAGATAAAACTATTGCCTGACACTTTGCATTAGCTTACTTACATTTAACTCAACTGGTGTGTGTCTGTGCTCTGCAGGCAGGGTTATGTGAATGACAAGGTGCCAGTGGAAGTTCTTATTGAGAAATATCTTCGCATGGAGCAGCGCAAGCTCCTGATCCCTATCGCAACCAGTGGAAACGTTGTCTTCCCTAAAAAGCGGAAGTGAATGTTTTATGTACAGCTAGACTGTATAGGTTTTCTTTTTAATTTGATGTTATATGCTATAGTATGATCTCTGTGTGAGCATATATATATGTATTATTAACTTCTAAAATGAATAAAAGCTGAAATTAAGTTCTCCTCTTTATATTTTTGTGCTTGAGTAGTAGCCATTGATTGACACCTTAAACTGTTACATTACCAGTGTTAACCCCTTTGATAGCCCTTATGAAATAAGCGTCTTATCAACTCAGAACAGTCTTCATCCTTATGAAAAGTGGGCATAATGTAGAAGGGTGCATCTGTTTTTTCTTATATGTTAGACTTGAGCTTATAAGCCACCAGGAAATACTGTGAAAGCATGTAAATTGTGCATTTAAATGCTTGTCTTACAGAGTTTGGATGAAATGATGTGTAGCTATTTTTTGCAGAGGGTTTTGTGAGGAAAGACCTAGGAAATTTGACTGGGTCTCCTAGATGTGACATTCATTCTAACCAACCCATATCCCAGTCAGCCAAAATGGTCCAAAGTAATTATTGTAATGAGTTAAGTTAAGTACTATTATAGGATTAATGAAGAATTTCATTGCAAGCATATTTGGACTTTCTTTAGAGTGTTTAACATCATAGGACGGAGATGTATTAAAGACGCATTCAGGACAAGCTGATGAATCCAGAGATTAATTCCATTCACATCTTGCTTAAATTCAACCTTTTAATGGTTGAAATCTGTTAATCGGTGCACTAACTCCTCTTCTGATTAGATAAACATAAATTAGTTATCCGTGGTAGTAAAATTGAACACATGCAGTGTATCCATGTGAAAAAATGTTGGAGTGAAAACAGCTTTTAACTTTTGACAAAGAGGCATGGAAGATACCTTTTTGTTATAGAATCATCCATACAAGGTTAGGTACAGCAGATATAAACAGATACCGTCGGTGGGTGCATGTGAAAATGTAAACAATGGTTGAGAATCCAAATCAGTACAATTGTTTTCATGGTGTGTAGCATTACTCCATTTCAGCAGGGGGCGCTCTAAGCGAGACGACACTCTTCGGGCTGCCAGTTGTAAAGACAGTTAGCCTGATAGCTAACAACAACAACAGAAGATCCCGGGCAGCTAGCGTTACAATTTAACCCAGGATAAAGGTGAGCCCGTCGATTAAAAGAATGATAAAGCTGCAGTATATGAACAAAACACTTAAACTAATACCATAATGATTATTGTCTTATAACCCGAGTCGCAGTTTTTGCGGCAGTTTCTCCGATCTTTTTGTTTGGCTTAGGTTGGCTGCTACAGAAACAGGGCGAACTAGCCAGCTAGCTCGATCAAGTTAGCTAACGCGTTATCTCCAGATTGTTTAGCTACAGTGTATACATACTTTTTTTTAATGATATCATCCTTATAGTTACGGTGTTTGCATACTTTTTAAATTGTATTACCCAATGGTCTAAGTGTATGCCTTTTTTCTTTACTCTTTACGCATAGCTAAAGTAAAGAGTCAATTCAACGTCAGATACCATTGTCGACTATCTGTACTGTTAGCAGGTTAACTACCTGCTACTCTCACAGTATACATCAGCACCAATGACTGACCAGTTCCCAATGTTGATCTCTACAGGTAAAAGCTTAATGGGTTATTTTAACAAACACGTCAAATATGGCTAAGCTCTTCAGATCAAAAGTATAACCTATACAAAATTTAAATATACACTGCTAAAAAAATAAAGGGAACACAAGGGAAAATAAGACATTCAACTATGTAATGAACAAGGTATTTAATAAGAATATTTCATTCATTCAGATCTAGGATGTCTTATGTTGTGTTCCCTTTATTTTTTTGAGCCGTTAGGTATTTTTAGTCAGATAGATATTGGATAGATACTTTATGTATTAGAAATGTTTAGTGGAGATAGGATGTCTAGTTAGACTGTTAAATGCTTAGGCCTGCTTATGAGTTTCTACAGGGTACATCTGGTCAAGGATAACTAGAGAGAAGAGTTGATGACTGTCAGCAGACAGGATGTTTAATATTATTATTATGACGTGTATAACTGTAGCCTTAGCCATAATAGGTTCTTATGTTTAAGCCACGACATGTTACTAGAGGTCGTGAGAATGTTTTTAGCTACACACCACTTAACCAACAGACACACACACATTGATTTGCTTCATGTTTTGACTACTGCTATGACCAGCTGCAAAGCTGGTAACAGAGACGTCTCGGTTGACGTTTCTGTGTAGTATGGGGCTAGCCCAACCGAGGGGATATAATGTATAGGCCTGGTGGGTTCAGGGTCTTTCATCTTACATCTGCCTGCGAGCAGTTTGGAGGTGCAAGATACTTGAGCGTGTAATGTTAATTTTACCTGTGATCCTTTGAATAAATCAGCACTGTTTTGTAGTTACTTGGACTCCCTCGTCTCTCAGAGTCAGTATGGTAAAAAGTACGGGGTACAACAGAGCATATAAGCTAGTTGTAGAAAAATATATACTAGTAATGAGTAGTGGGTGACAGGAATAAGAAGATTTATGCCCTAGGCCTTCATGGTACCTTTTCATTAGAACCACTTAATGTATGAAATGCTATGTGGGTGAGTAAATGTTAACCAAAATCCAGAAACCGGTTAGCTGAGCAGCTGTCATTTTTGTTTATTTGGATAGAAAGGGGGCAGCAGTGTATACATACTTGTTGCCTCACAGCGAGAAGGTTCTGGGTTCGGGCCCCACCTGGGACCTTTCTGTGTGGAGTTTGCATGTTCTCCCCATGCTTGCATGGGTTCTCTCCGGGTACTCCGGCTTCCTCCCACAGTCCAAAGACATGCAGCTTAGGAGTGCGTGTGTGTGGTTGTTCGTCTATGTGTTAGCCCTGCGATGGGTTGGCGACCTGTCCAGGGTGTCCCCCGCCTTCGCCCGATTGCCGGCTGAGATTGGCTCCGGCCCCGCGACCTCGTTCAGGGACTAAGCGGTAGAAAATGAAAGAATGAATGAATGGATAGAAAGGAGATACGCTGTCAATTATGACCCTGAGGGGGTGGACAGACTTGGGACCTTAGTAATGGCATAGGAACAGTGATGTGAATGAGTCAGGTTCACAGGGAACAGACCAAACACCACAGCAGTGTCGGGTCATCTCGTGGATGTTTTGTGTACTGTATCTGTTATGAAACCATATGGTGGTGAACATTAGTGTAATCCTGTTTTTTTTTTACCCAGAAATGCTTTTCTTATGAAGGTTTTAGTATTTGTTTTATTTTGACAGTGAGAGAGTGAGACACTTCTTTGCTGTATTATGGTGGTTAAAACTTGTCACATTACATAAAGTAGTGCAGTAGTAAAGTATAACAAACTAAGGTGTCTTTGTGTCTTAGAGAAAAAACAGCATGCTAAGACCTTCTAAACTGTATTTAAAATGCAACATTTGAGGATATACTTTTAATTTTAACAATGCTGACCTTTAGTGTTACCTGCAAGGTGAGGCTCACATGCTGTAGTTGCAGTCTTGTTGCCTTCTCTTGCCATTTTTCATGTCACAAACCTGCCACACAGCAGATTAAATGGCCTTTAAGATTTTCCTGAGTTCATCTTTTTTTGCCTCCTACATACACTTAGTATTTGAATTTCAGTTTAGCTGAGTTCAGCTTTATTGTGTTGACCCAAAGGAAAAACCGACTACTTTTGATCTTGCCATTTTTCAAACCTTTATTTCATAACTTATTACAAAATTGCAAATATAAGGTCAGAATATAGGTGATATGGATGATCACAGTAACTCTCTTAGTTACTTTTTTGAAGAACATTTTGAGAACTGTCATTTAGATGCTTGCCCTTTCTGGCAAGAAACAAAAAATAGATTGTTTGTTTTACTACTGGAAACTGAGGGTAGATTTCTCTTCCTTAGGCATGTATATTGTGCAACTTAATCACATGCTTATTAGTCCATATATATATAAAGAGGGATCTGGTAATTGCAGGCATAAAACAATCCACTGGTCAAGTTGTTTGCTGTTGGGCTGAGCGGTATTGATGTATTCACATTTTGATATTGAGTCAGAATTTAACCATGTGACATTGAATCATAAATAGGGCCAGTGGCAAAAACCCTCTCCAATCATTATGTCCTACACAACAACAACAACAACAACTGTCTGTCACATATTGCTGATTAATGATCTTAATTGAAACATACAGCCCTAGTCTGCAGTGAGACTGTTTCAGATACTTGCCCATTAAGTTGTGGTGCCTTTTAAAACTTACCTGTATAGACCGACCACATATTTTCAGTCTAAGTGGTTACTTTGTCACCTGAAAAAAATGTCAAAACTTAATAAGGTGGCATAACACCATTTCTACAGATGAAAATGATAATAGCTTTGAGCCTGGCTCAAAATCTCTGCCAGCAGGAACCTGCCCAGCTGTTGCAAATTAGCCAGATTTAAAAAATAGCCTTAAATATCACTTGCAGTGTTCTGCAGCCTGCAGGACTGTCTGCCCTTGCAGGTAAACATATCAGTTGTTTGTAATGGCCTGAGCCAGGTGAAAAGAGACATCAGGTATGCATTGAAACCCCTCCTCCCTAATACCTCCCTGTGCCTGGCAAAGTGAGGAAGTACAAGCAAGAGGTGCCAGTACTTCTTTGTCCTGTCAGATCCCCTTTAGTGTAATTGTGGGTCTGCACAGAGTTGGGGATGAGAGTGAGGCAAGCTGATCACTGTAGCAAAATCAATAGTTCATACCTCTCTGAGATTGAGTTTTTAGGAAAGGAAGAGCACTATGACCAAGGGCAGAATATGTAATCAGTCCCACAGAGGACCAACACACACTGTGCAAATAGATCCCCAGTCCCTGTACCAATTATAGTTTTAAGTTTTGTCTGTGGCTTAAAGCAGTCCTCAAAGACCAAAGCTTTTGAAATAGGCAGTGTATTCACCAACACTTAGACAAGGGTTGCGTTTTTTTCATTCTTGTTGGAAATTGCTGTCTGAAAGGCCTCCATACCTGCAGTCTTTAATTTAGAGGAGAGATTGATTTCTTCATTTTTGGTTTTTGAAGTCATGTCAGAAAAAAAAGCACAGTGGTTGTAACTGCTACCTTAGATATCATAGCTCTACAGATGGGCCTAGTTTCATACATTTTAAGTGTAATTTCAGAGGTGTGGAGGACAAATCTAGTTTCATGCTCATCTTTTCCTGATTTCCTGCTTTTATTGTTTCATCTTTCTCTCCTGACATTGTAGTTTAGAAGTAGGGATACATTTCAGGGTGGCAAGAATTACAGTATTATATTTTTACACCAATCATTTCTCCTGATACAAAAAGACATTGGCAGTTTAGAAACACCATCCTAATCTTTTATAAACTGGCTGTGTTGGTGCTGGTAGTTAGTGAGATATAGCGGCCACAGATTGGTCTCCCCAGGAGCAGTGTGGAAAATTCAAAAAGCTCATTTTACATATCTATTATAATGAACTATTGATTGTCTTTCCTCTACCATCTCCTATTTTGAAATGATCTTTGTTAAATATTGTTGCTGTCTACTGTTGGATGGATTTTGATTGCAGCTTTTGTAATGTAAAATACCTTTATATAGATTATTTAGCATATTATTGGACATGTATAACTTGTGTATACTGGGGATATGAGTATAGATTATCTGGGGAAAGTTCAGCTGACAACCTGAATTTTATCTCCCTGCCTCTGACCTCAACTGGTGGTAGTTTTCCTTTTGGAAACTGAAGTGTCTTCCAGAGTTTGGTTGTTGATTGCAGGTCATGTGATGGGACAGATAAAACATTATAATCCAGATTTCTTTAACAGGAAGTATGGTTAAATACAACTGCAAACTGTCATTGAGCAGCCTCTTTGTTTGAAATACAACAGAAGAACAACTGCTGTACTTTTGTACACGTGGACACAGTAAAGGTTGCTACCGTGATGGTGTGCAGTGTGTTGCCTGCAGTTCACTGTGGCTGCTCCATCTTGTTGAGAAATTAAAACTGATCTTCTGACAAAAAACATTTAACTAAGTAGCTATTCTTTAGGTGCATTTTTGAAGACTGAAGGTGGTCATTTCTAACTCCTATGACAAATATATTGGATTTTCTTTGGCTTCTTTGTTAAACATTTTTAATTTGAAGCAGCAGCAATAGGAAATGTCCGGTTTGAATTAGCAGTAACAGTAATTTATGGCTGTTATGCGTTCAGTTGTATGACTGTTAATGGATTATCTATCCTTAAATTTGTGCTCAGTTTAAATATTAGCCCACAAATAGTTGAGAAAGAAACTGGAACACAATCTATTTAAAAGATGCTGGGATTGTTTCATTGCAGTGTGCATCTTCATCTCAGTTTGTCTTACCAAGAGCCTGTATTTGATTCCTCTCTTACAACCTGTTTGGTTTTTTTTTTGTCTCGATTTTATCTTTTTGTTGTTGTGGTTGTGGAAATGTATCTCTGAACGGTCCCATAGACGGTGTGATCTGTTTTTCCATTTGGCTCCTGTGTCACTTTACTTTTCATTTTCTTTCCTATACCACATTCCTCTGCCTCCCACCTTCTCACTCCATCTTACCTGTTGCCACTGATTGGTTGGGTCTTCATTCAGTGGATTTTGTGAAGACGGTGTCACAACAGATATTCTTCATGGTCCATTGAGGTCACCTTAGGCTAAATATCCGTTGGGACACAGACATGCATTTTCAGCTGTGTTAGTTTCATCAGTGAAAACAATGACAAAAAATACTCATTGACAGTCTATTTTTCAGGGTGAAAATTGGAGTAAAATTAAATACAAAGTCATATTTGGTAATGAGAACTGTGACAGAATGGTTTTTCGTGAATGAATAAAAACTGAATGATATTTTAAAAGATCGACAAATGAACATGAAGTAAATACTGTCGTATTCAGCGACCTGCTCTCTGGAATCACAAGCTGTAGCTCCTGATCAGTAAAACGGCCTCTGCCCAAAATATCTCTCGTTCAGAAGTTGAATTAGCTGCTTCACCCGTTGCACTACCACCGATAAGCTAACAACTCACAGTCAGCAATGTTCTGTCTCTGTTATCTGATGTTAGCACTTACTGGGAGAGACGGGTTTATAAACTAAATTCACCTACAATCTACAGAGAATTGGACAAGAAGACATAAAAACAAAAAACAGCTGAGGCAAACTAGGCACCATTTTCAAGTCTAAGCCCTAACTGGGCTGTTCAGTCTGAGACAACCATCCCACCAACCCATCTGTGAAATGTAAACTATAAAACAAAATTCCTTTCAGAAATATGTGTCAGAATGTGGCAACCACTAGCTACCTTGTGATTATGCCTTCGCGCTGGCAATAGCCACAGCCAGAGGCATAATGTTTTTAAGTTGTCCGTATGGCTGTCCTTCCATCTGTATGTTCATACGATTTTTGTGCACATATGTCAGAAACACCTTGAACGAGAAAGAAGATTATAGAAGAAAGAAATTGCCTATGGCATTTAAATTGTATGTGCTGACCAGTTTAGAGACGGTGTTGGGGTGTGCTGTTGAAGTTTGTTAGTGTGTGTGCATGACATACATGCATGGCCTGCCTGTGTGACTTGAAGGTAATTTGGGAACCTTGGATTTGACTTGTGACATCATCCTACACTGTAGTCCTTGATATAACGACTTGTTTATTTACAGTTCATTTTTGAAACTTAATTGCAATTGCAGCAGCTATTGATCTGAGAACAGGCATAGACATCGATCTCTTGCTGTCCCCGGTGGATCCAGCCCCAACAGTAAACCTCAACAGTAGGCACTGTAGTCACATTAATTAAAAGTTATTGAGTCTTAAATGGATACAGTGCCTTTGTGTTGCATCACAGTAAGCTGTGCTTTGTTTAAAGATTTTTTTCTGTTTGGTGTGTGGTTGTTTTAGTAGAATGTGTTTCAGGCCAAACAAGATTTTCAAGGAGAAGCTTAGAGGACATGGGATTTAAATTATAGTTTGATCAATTAATCACTCTCCTATTGTCTGTTTCTAGGGGGCAAACTGCTTCCATCTGGCACGCACTGATGCAGATGGACGTCAAGACTGAACATTGACGAGTGGAAGTGACAGATTCCTCCTCCTCAGGCTCTTGTGCCCAACACCTTCTGTCACGCTGGCAATGTCAAGAGTCCCGAGTCCCCCTCCTCCTGCGGAAATGTCCAGCGGGCCTGTGGCTGAGAGCTGGTGCTACACACAGGTAAAATGACTGTGTGTGAACTGTTAATCTGTAACATCATCTTTACTTCAAGCTTCAATGTTTTTCCTTTGCCAGATCAAAGTGGTGAAGTTCTCTTACATGTGGACCATCAACAACTTCAGTTTCTGTCGTGAGGAGATGGGCGAGGTCATCAAGAGCTCCACCTTCTCCTCTGGGGCCAATGACAAGCTGAAATGGTGGGTGGGCCAGAAGGCTGCTTTGTTTAAGTATATTCTTATTTCCAGTATGCATTGTCTGTGGCACAGGATGTGGAGTGCTGTGAAACATCTGGATGTAGATCTTGCTTTACTTCTGCAGTACCTGTAATATAGACACCTATCATTTTTCACTTTGTGGCACAACAAATGACTTCCTGGGAGTGATTTATGTTGAAAATAATAAGTAAATGCATATCACTACATCCTGTTCACAAGTGTTTCTAACTGCTGCGTCCCTCACAAACAGGTGTTTGCGAGTGAATCCTAAGGGCCTGGATGAGGAGAGCAAAGATTACCTGTCTCTCTACCTGCTGCTGGTCAGCTGTCCAAAGGCAGAGGTACGCGCCAAGTTCAAATTCTCCATCCTCAACGCCAAGGGAGAGGAGACCAAAGCCATGGGTAAGTCAGCCTGGTAGAGCAACTTTAACTACAACAGAAGCTGTGTAAGAGTCATATTCTGGTTTCCTTTACATGGGTGTACCTCTCAGTGACCTCTGTATGTTCCGGCTGCCTCCAGAAAGCCAGAGGGCATATCGCTTTGTCCAGGGGAAAGACTGGGGCTTTAAAAAATTCATCCGGAGAGACTTCCTCCTAGATGAGGCCAATGGTCTTCTACCTGACGACAAGCTCACGCTCTTCTGTGAGGTACACTGCCGAGCCATAGTGTTAAACTCTTTGTTGGATATACCTTTTCTCAGCACCTAAAGTGTTAAAAACATTGAATCAAAATTTTCTCCATTAGGTGAGTGTGGTGCAGGACTCGGTCAACATATCTGGGCAGAACACTATGAACATGGTGAAGGTGCCTGACTGCCGGCTAGCAGATGAGCTGGGGGGCCTGTGGGAGAACTCGCGCTTCACAGACTGTTCCCTGTGTGTGGCTGGCCAGGAGTTTCAGGCCCACAAAGCCATCCTGGCAGGTACAGACATGAGTCAGGCACACATCTGGTTTCTTTGTTCTGTGCCTGCCTGGCTTTGTGTGGGAGTTTACTTTTTTATGTATTTACACTGTTGCTTGATCCTACAGTTACTTGCACATTAATATTTTTGCTGATGTCCTCTATCACTGTTTTCAGCACGTTCCCCTGTATTCAGTGCCATGTTTGAGCATGAGATGGAAGAGAGCAAAAAGGTGAGTCCAAGGTCCTAAAGATTTAGTCTTATTCCTAGAGATTAATTTGTTTATTTCCTCAGAAACTCAGCAGCTCAAAGTTTCACTGCTGTGTTGAGGGCTTAAAGTGAGTGAACGATTGTGTGCTGTCAGTTGGCTGCAGCACAGAGCTGCTGAATGATAGCGCACCTGAGATGAAATTGTCCTTGGGGGTCGGGATTCATCCTTCACTGACACAGCTGCAGAAGCAGAGAATAGCTTTTTTTTCCATTTGTGCACAGGTGACTGTAAGAAATGGATTGCAGAAGAAACTGTTCTGGTGTTTTTGTTTTAAACCACAGCCGTTACAAACTTTGTAGGATTAAAATGTTTCAGTCTAAGTAACACATTTAAAATGTGCCATATCGCCCAGCCCTACTTTAATGCTAATTATGACCACAATTATTGCATATGTTTGGACTTGTAAGGTCTTAGACCGAAAGTATTCATCAAATAGATTCAGCTTTCATCTTCATCACTTTTTTTGCACCAAAGTTTGCTTATGTTGCTTTTTGCCGGTCTCACACCCACTGCGTGGTTTAACCCTGCAGGACTCACTCATTTTCAGTCCTTATATTACTCACAAATACCCCAGATGAATTGCAGCTGCCTAAAAAGCTGCACAGCCAAGCTCAAAAAGATACAAATGATAACATGTTATCACATTTAAATATCAAATACATTATCTTGTAGAGATTTACAGCTCCATAAATACCGAAATAACGACTTCATTTCTTTTTACTATAATACTCCATACTGTACAATTTTGAGCCTTCTTAAATTATTCGTTCGCTGTCATGTGCATGTAAATATCAGAATGAGAAGTATAATAACATCATGTACAGACTGTAGTTAAGGCTCATGTTACGGTGAAAAGTTTGGATCTAACCGCCTCGTTCCATCTGTGTTGTCAGAACCGTGTGGAGATCAATGATGTGGAGCCGGAGGTTTTCAAAGAGATGATGTGCTTCATTTACACAGACAAGGCTCCCAATCTGGACAAGATGGCTGATGACTTGCTTGCAGCAGCGGACAAGGTAATGTAACAGTAGAGTCAGTGTATTTATTACACTTTTAAGACAGTGTTGCTTCATAGATAATAGGTGATGAGCTGGATTGGAGCCTGCGATGGTACAAGTGCACATTGTTCACTAACCCTCAGACCAGTAAGTGTCAGGATTTCAAGGACAGTTGGGTGATTTCACACTGACCTCACTTCTTCATGACACCAAATGGGAAACTGACATAGTTCCTCTCTGAGGTCAAGCATCGAAGCTGTTATTATTATTATTGCCTCTTGTATTTATATCCTTTCAACTAGATATATTTCTTTTATCTCTTTTAAAAGTGACATCATTAACTGACATATTTTTACAAATATCACCTGAAAATACCACATGAAGACGAAGTATACTTATCCTCCCTTTCAGTATGCTCTGGAGAGATTGAAAGTCATGTGCGAGGACGCTCTGTGCACCAGTCTGTCTGTGGAAAATGCTGCTGAGATCCTCATCCTGGCTGACCTGCACAGCGCCGACCAGCTGAAAACGCAGGCTGTCGACTTCATTAACTAGTGAGTTCACACACAAAAAACAGCTTGTTGTCACCTGTAATTGGGCCCCTGACACCTTTCTACAGTCTTGCAGATCCTTGGCACATTTTGTCTTTGTAGCTACAGTACACGTCTGTCTTCTTTATCTTGGTGTCATTACTGATGGTACCGACTCAGTCTCACTCCCTCTCCCCTGGTGTTACAGTTAATAAGTTAATTTAATTCCATGTCCCCTCCTCGAGGGGTCTGTCTGATATGATTAAACCCTGTCGAGGCTTTCTGAGGGATCAAGGCAACCTGACTCCTCACTAGGTCCTGCTGTTACTTCCTTTGTTGACTCAGATCAGTGTGTGATAATACGTAGCCCTGAAAATGTGTTTACTGATGTTCAGCTCACACTTCAAATTGCTTCTCTCCTTCAGATACATGATTCTTTATATGTTTTCACAGCCTTGATTAATTAACTGAGAAATAATAAGAAACTATTGTCAGAATTGATTCATAATTTTATGTTTTCTGAGCAAAAGTACCAAACATTCTCTAGTTCTAGGCTCTCATTAGTGAGGATTTGCTTCTTTTCTTTCTCTTATGTCAGTGATTTCCAAGCTCAAGGACCACACACACACACACACACACACACACACACACAATGACAAATGTGTAACAAGGTAGATGCAGCTCTATACAAATTGATTTTCTTTTTGTTTCTCTGTCTCTCTTGGCCTGCCCTCTAGCCACGCTGCAGAGGTGATGGAGACAGCCGGATGGAAGTCCATGGTAGCGTCTCATCCGCACCTGGTGGCTGAAGCTTACCGCTCCCTGGCTTCAGCTCAGTGCCCTTTCCTCGGACCTCCACGCAAGCGCCTCAAACAATCCTAACAGCCTCACAGTAAGGCGTCTACACTAAAGCATCCAAACTCACATGCGCACACACAAGACCCCCCGCCCCCCCCCCCCTTCAAAAAAACCCACCCAGGGACAACCTTTCCCCTTGCTGTTACTTACTACACTACCTACAGCCTCTCCCAAATCTCCCCCTTCTGTCCCATCCAAACCTGCTGTATTTAGTCTCTTCTAAAGATGGAGGGAAGGAGAAGGAGGAGGTGGAGGACAACATGGAGATGGAAAACAGGGACAGTTGGGCTTGTGAAGTGGATGTTTGTTGTTTACAAAAGAACCACAATACCCCCCCTCTTCCCTCTTCCCCCCCTTTTTCTCCTCAGCTCTGGCTTAGCAAGATTTGACATTGTGCTCTTTTTCGTCTGTGAAAACCAAATCCTTCAACATCCTGGTAGTTCCTGCTTTGGAATCCGTTCGGGAAGAAGAACTGGACAGAACAACCCAATAAGAACCAGCTGTCTGGACATTTGGAGGCTTAAAGGACAAGTGCAGATTGAACGGTGTGTTATCAGAAAGCTTCTTTTTGCTCTGCTCTCAGTGTTTGGAGTAGAGCAGGCAGAGAAGCCCCCAGACTATAGGACACATGGGCCTGTGAGGGGACTAAACAAGAAGATGTAGTGGGCCTGTTAGTTACAAACTAGAACCCCCCCGACCCCATCCCCCAAGAAGGACAAACAAGGGCTAGTCAAAAAAGGAGATATGGGACAAAGTCATCACAGTTTCCCAAGAAAGTTGGGAAAACATTGCACTAAAGTCACAGGTCAACCCTTGTCAACCCTTACCAGCAGTAAATTAGAAGTAACTGTAGGCAAGCACATATTGACTTCATGGACTAAAGACCCAGCTGGACCACCAAGAACAAATTCCCTTTAAGAGGATTTATCAGCAAGTGACAAAAATAACACATGTACTCCCATATAGAACTCTTCAAGCTTCATCTGCATCCGTTTTCAGTTTTTAAATAGCCGGAAATTAAAAACGAGTATAGAGAGGATACAGAAAATAGCAACGCACAACTGGATGTCATTCTTGGGGAAATAGTATTTTATGCGTGGATCTGTGTTTGTAGCCCTTTAGACAAAATCAAATCCAAGGGTTCGACAGACAAACCAACCAGAAGACAACAATTGCAGGAAAAAAAACACATCAGACGGTTACAAAATAACATTATGATTCAATCAGGCATGTTAATGTTCTTTAATGATTTTTTTTTTAAATGTTTTTTTCCTCAGTACTGGCAATTTCTATTTTTTTCATAGGAATTTGTACAGACACTGTTTTTGAACGTGTGTAAGTCAAAATCATTTTCAACCGTGAAATTGAAAAAGTTGACAGATGTTTTCTTTGCTGGCATGAAGACTGAAGCGGAAAGGAAACTGAAATGAACACGTTTTAATGTTCAGCATAAACAGAGTGGAAACAAATGCACACCAAGGCGAACCACATGAAATACATTTGAATTTATCATTTGAACCTGGTAGAAAGTGATAATCGATAGATGGAACCATTGTTGTTTCTTTCCTGTAGATATCGCTGGATATGAGAAGTGACACTTAGTTGTTGCCATTTTTTGTTCCCAAAAGAATAAACTACAACTATTTTGTATTGAATGCAATGCAAACTTTGTCTGGGTATTTTTGGATGAATTATGTGGTTGTATTGAGTATAGTATTTTCAGCTGCGTTAGGAATTAGTCATAGGATTTCACAGAAGATGCAAGAACCAGTCAAACAGAAAGCTTTGTGGTAATTGTTGCATATGAGCTATTTAAGAGAATATGTGGTGTTTTATTATTATCTTCTGTCAGGTATGAACGAAATTCACGAGTCGCCCAGACATGTCATGTGAATCATGAACAGGTGAACAACTGTTTTTCACAGGGAGAGAGAAGTTGTTCCATTTTAGAATCATAGTGGCTTTATCTGAATGAATTTGGACTTGAAATATGATTTTAATTAAAAACCACAAAGTATTGTATATAACAAGCTAAATGCAAAGTTTATATTCTGTTCACCATATGATCATCATCATTGCTTGCTAGTTTGCAGTGGTTTTTATATTGTAGTATTTTTCTTGACGTATTTTGTGACAGCTCTTCATACATTTGATTGCAGACTTAAAGCTGCACAGTATGATATTTTTTCCTTTTTATTTGTATTTTGTTATGATGGGATTGTTTTATTTGGGACAGGTTTAGAATAGAATAGAGTGCCACTTTTTGCTGGCACATGCCTTTTTGTATTTATTATTTTGTATCACAATGGCAATTTGATATTTGCAAAGTATTTTGAAGTAGCTTCAGTTAACCAAACTATATTTTCCCATTGAGTAGCTTTACATACATGAGAGGGTCAGAATATTAGGAACACCTCTGAATATAATATATACAATACATACATTAACTATGAACTCAGTAATCAACATCTACAGTAATTGAATCTGCATATTTATGATAGTTTCACCCAAAACAAAAAGACACCTGTACAACGGCATGCAAATGTAATGCAACATTTTGAGCTTCATAAACAGATGTTAAGGCGAAGTGTTGCATTGAATTGCATGCCGTTGTACAGGTGCAACATTTAATTTGGCTGGGCAGTGTATGACACACACACACTGCTATAGATAAAGCTAAAGAGACTCAGGTGTAATTCAAGTGTAGCTGTTAACAGGAGCTCTCTGCCTGTGGTTTTAGCATCCAAACACCCCAGCGGTATCTGAGCACAGCTGTGATGTGGAAGAAGTGCACACGATGATGGCCACTGAGGTGTGTGAGCTTTCTTCAGGGGTGTGTCATCACCCATTTGGTCAGGGCTTCACCTCTGTCACCTATATAAATGAGTTAAGGGCATTCATTAATCACTGCTGCTCATCCAGCAAAAAGGTTACGTGCCATTGCAGTGAGCACAGTGACCAGGATAAAACTGGCAACAACTCAGAAACAGTTATTACAGATCTGACACATCATTGATGAATAAATACACAGGTATCATTCATCAATCACTTGGATTAGTAGATAAAACGGTGTACTTTCTCAACCAGCTGAAATAGGCAACATGCTCTTAATGGGGTTAACTTGTGCTGGTTTAGGCCTAAACCTGTACAACTTCCATCTATTATCTATACTGGTTGTTCCTGAATAGGGACGCGGGGAAGTTGGAACCTGTCCCAGCTGACATTGGGTGAGATGTGGGGTACACCCTGGTACATCACAGGGCTGACAGAGACAAACAACCACACGCACACACACGCACTCCTAGGGGCAATTTAGAGTCACCAATCAACCTAAGCCACATATCTTTGGACTGTGGGAGGAAGTCGGAGTACCCTGCAGGCATGGGCAGAACATGCAAACTCCACACAGAAAGGCCCCGGGCTCCAACCCAGAACCTTCTTGCTGTGAGGCAACTGTGCCGCCGCCCCCTGTACAACTTATCATTTATATTCTATGAGGACCATGAGCGGAGCACCGGCAACCCCCAGAACCTGATTGGCCACTCCTGGTGCCACCACTGCCAGAGTTGTCTGTAGTAGTGAAAGAGAAATGAAAAACAATGACAAATTGTTGCCTTAAATATAAGTAACATTTTTTTCAGTGCTTTATGATTGATATTAGCCAAATTAGTTTGATTTCAAATCATACATACAGCATGATATTTAGCAGCATGACTTAATTTCTCCAATTGTGTTGTGGAGTATTTGGCATGATTCGCCTCAGTGATGCGCAGTAAATAAGGAGCCAAGGTTAGTTAAAGAAAGCACAGTGTCTCATTTTTACACAAACAATTTGGTTATTATTAATGTATGGTTTATTATTTAATGAAACTGTGCCCCAAGCATAGACCATGTGGATCAAAGGCAGTAAGGAAAAACTCATAAATAAAGAAATCTGGTTTGCAAGCTTGTGTGTGAGGCAGTAGCCCCAGATGGTTTAGAGTAGGCGACCTGTAGGTTTCTAGTGGCAGTTATTTTTATTGAGCAAAAATACAGTGCAGTGTGTGTGAAGAAATACACAAGAGAGCAAGGATAACATGACTCGAGTGTACAAGGTAAATGTTACAAATGCACAGTGCCTAGCCTTATAGTCATGGTATAGGAATAGACAAATTCATACGTTTTAGTAAACAGAATTTAAACATCTACATTGCTATTCTGTAAAATAGAGCATGTAGAACAAATAGAACATGTACAGCTCCAGAATTTTCAGGCCTTGAGTTAATATCCTGATAGTCTGACATCTTTCCAGGATTATGATATATGAGCCCTAATGAACCAAAAAACTTAATATTGCTTAGTTCCAGCAAAGTATTATGGGAGGAATTATCTGTAGAACTTAAGTGATGCGTCATTTGGTTAATAGAACATTTTGATAAGTCTAAAGTTTTGGCAGGTTTTGATGGGCATTTGTCACAGCTTTGTCATTTCATAAAACCAAATGATTAATATGGTAAAAACCAAACTGCCACATCAATCAATCAAAACAACCCTTAGTTGTTAATTATATGTATTTCATAAAAACAAGCCAATACAACTCTTGCAGTCTACAAGCAAGATTATTGCACTAAAAACATAATTTGCAGTATATTGTAAATTCTAAGACTTGAAAATACATTTTCTTGAGCACTTTCCCTTAAACAACTATCAACCTCCAAACTGTTTGGCTCAGAGCTCCTATATGTAAATATTACTCTCCAGTATCCTTGGTTTGTCTTCCAGTTAATCTGTGGGCAGGTACGCTCTGGGTTTCTGGTAGCTGTAGTCTGGACAGACTTTCTGAACCAGCCTGTAGTCTGTACTGTAGAAAGACACATAGATACAGATCACCTGGAAGGGTTTGAAGCACATCCAGGTGATGTGGCTCTGAGTCTGCTCCTGAGCACACATCTTGGATGGGTCGTAGTTACACAGCATCACCTTTTTGTTCCGTTCAGTTTTCTCGTAGTCCACCCGGCAGTTGAACGTCTTAGAGTCTTTGGGGTTGACGACACTTTGGCGCACCAGGTCGAACTCTACCTCTTTCATCAGTGGGACGAGACTGATGGACACATTACCCACACCGGTGGAGCTGTGGCGGAAGTAGACTCCGAGAGAGCCATTCCCGTGATCCACGATCTTTCCCATTATCAGCCAGTTCAGTTTAACTGTCTTGATGTTTGAATAAAAGTCCCCTAAAGTCAGTGTCCTGGAGAACTTAGAAGTTCCATGAGCTTTCATCATAGGTTGAAGCTTTATCTTTAAGGATGAATTTGATTGTGATTGGGAGTTTTCTCCAAGTATTTCCCAAAGTCTCTGCTTTGAAAGAGGTTGTTGGGTGTTCTGAGCCAAAATCCTAGTTTGAAGTACCCGGCCCTCCTGTGAAGAAGGCTCCTTCTCTCTGTTGAGTTCAGGTGATGCTCTCTTGTTGATGGTGAAGTTGATATGATGTTGTCCAAGAACCCACTAGACAAAAAATCAGGAGAGAAATTTGACAGAAAACAAACTGAAGTAGTAAAACAGAGCAGAAAGCATTTTAGGGGACTCAGTTTACATTCAATCTAACTCCCTAAAGATGATATTTTACATTAATCCATACAAAACAAAACAAAAAATCAAAGAAGTAATGAAACAATACATTGAGTGTTTTCCGTCTTGGTGTTTCTAAAGAGCTCAACGACTGGCTACAGCACAGACGTGAAATAAATGTTGTGTGAAAAATAAATATCGTGAAGACAGCTACCTTTTAAATGACCGATGAGATAGATTGTAAGAAGCATTTCTAATCTTGTAGGGGATCTAAATACATGAATGTTGGTTTTAGATTAAACGCCACAAAAATATCCCATTCAACTAGCTTTCTATTTTACACGTAGTAGTAATTTTAGAGCTTCAAAAATTTTTTAGAGCAGACAAAAAAATGCTAGGTAAAATATAGCCAAAATAATTGCAAAACATAAAATCCATATAAAAGTGTCAGTATTTCACAACACAAGTAAAATGCTAATTCTGTTTCTGAAGTGCATCTAATAGTAGTGTTTCTAGTTTTTTTTACTGACCAAACAAAAGGTTGCTTTCAGAAGTATCCATACAAAGCAGTGAGTGGTAAACATCGCCATAGTGCACAACTTCCTATCAGAAGATCCATCCACTCTCATCTGAAGTTCATCCAGGGTGAGTTAAGCTTTAGAAGTCCAGATCCACATTAAAGACACGGAGCTAAATACTCAGTTAAACCAGAGGAAAACCATGTGTGTGTCCTGCTGCTTCCACTCACAGCACACACACTGGGTGGCTTTCTCAGATCTGGGGATTTTTAACGCTCAGTTATACTGTGTCTACCCTCTCTCTCTCTTTCACCCTCACTCCCTCACACATACCCACTCACACAATCTCTCTCTCTCTCTCTCACACACACACACACACACACACACACACACACACACACACACACAGCCTTTTCTTTATGAATGTGCAGTGTTAACAATGTCACACAGCATGTCCTGCCTTTCATCCCCCTCCTCTTCTCTCGGTCACTTAAAACACTTCATATTGTGTTCTGGGCGATGAAACACTTCAATTAACATTTGAATAAAATGAGAAATTGTTTTCGTCCATGTGTTTAGGAAACAAACACAGTGTGATACTGCCATCATGTGGCCAGATTGCAAAGTGCCACCAATGTATTAGCTCTGTTAACGAGATTTACAGACTTCTCCAGCTGAGCCCCACCTACTTCACACCAGTGGAAAGAGCTCAAAAACACAAATATGTCATATAAATTAACTAGGAATGCTCAAACTTTGGCAAAAAAATTTGTGTTCATGAAGGAGCCTGTTGATAATGACTGAGATAAACAGATTTCAAGGCAATACATCAGTAATAATTATCCAGCAACTTTAGAGAAAAGCACGTGTTGATTTCTTAATTGGAAAGCTTCATACCAAAGTGAGATAACTATCATTTATCAAATTTAACACTTCTCCTTGTGTGAAGAAGGATGTGAAATGGGTGCAAATGAGATCTCACTTTAAAAAGATAAACAGCTGAAGTGCGTCAGCTGAAGTTCTGCTAACACTAGAAGTTCCAACTGTTACCTTTTTAATCTGCATTTCCTCATATGTTATATGAAATGCTGTTTATTAAAATTCAGAGGGAGGAAGTAATGAAGTGCAAATACTTTACTGTACTTAAAACTGTTCTGTTCATGTTTTGTTTACACTGGTGGTGTTCGCTTTGCGGGCGTCCTGCACCCGCATCATCTTTTGGCTTTGTAACTCAACATAATCAAAGAATTTTAATCTAAAACAATCAACTTTAATAATCAACAGATGTTTACATTTGCCCTTTACCTTTGTTAGATTACATTACATAAGGGTTAAAACTGTGTTATGCTAATTTTTTGTTAGATGATTGGAAAAAAACCCAACAAATTTACAAACGAAGCAAGATTTTTCACAACTGCTGATTTTTATTTGAACCTCAGTCATTTCAAACATTCAGGACAGTTTGCACAGCACAAGCTGAACACACAACTATTTTGGTCTACACAACACAGCCCCATTGAACACAGACAAACCTATACATCACATGATCTGTGGTTTTTGGCCATAGATTTTCCCATCCCTGTGCAGTGTACTCATCAGAACATTCTTGCCTTTCTTTGGCACATACAAACCTATACATCACATGAGGGGCAGAGTCTTCTTGAGTGTGTGTTGCATATGTATGTCTTGCACTTGATGCAAGTACTGTATATTGTGTTTTTCTGTCCTTCTTGGGTCCACACACACTCCATAGCGCTTCTGTTGCCTGGTGCTGGCCGCAACCTAGAATAATGAAAAGATAAGAAATTATACTTAGCACCTAGTTTCGCTCTCTCCCAAAGCAGGAGTGTCACACAGTATACTGCAACAGCATCACACACTTACCTCAGGTGCTACAGATGGTCGTTGCACAGAAGGTGTAGCTGGATGATAATCAATGCCAGCCTCTTCTTCAAAGTCACTATAGGTTGTGAAATGTGAAGGAAAGTGCTGGCTGACATATAGTTATTGTGTCTGTCCAGCCCCAGAGGGTGTTGGCTTTCAAGGAGAGCACAGAGATGTAAATGTTTGAAGTGGAGACATTTCTTCACACCTTCTGACTGTCACTCTGAAAGCACGAGGGTCATAAAATCAAAGCAGTGTGCGGTCATTGAAAATTTGTTCTGATATATGTTCTTCATACAAAATGAGCCATGGCCATTGAGTCTGGGCTTGAAAAAATAATTACTTGTATCTTTTTTCTTTAGATGAAAAGTGAAAACGGGTATAATTTACCTGAACAGCACACCAGGGCTAACTCTTATGTAATGTAATCTAACAAATGTAAAGGGCAAATGTAAACATCTGTTGATTATTACATTGTTTTAGATTAAAATTCTTTGATTATGTTGAGTTACAAAGCCAAAAGATGATGCGGGTAAATAATACCTGCAAACACCAGCAGTGTAAACTAAACATGAATAGAACACCGGGGTTAAGTAGCTTTATCAGATAAATGTACTCATGCATTTATTTTTCTGACAACTTTTTACTTTAACAAAAATATCTGAATGTTGTATTCAATTCAGTTTCAATTCAGTCCATTTGTATAGCACAAATCACAACAAGCACATCAGGCTTGTTACTTTCCGTTTTAACACATCTGGCCAATAAAGATTCTGATTCTAAAGAGGAATAATAATTAAAATTAAAAATCTATACTGCTGAGTTCCTGCTCTACACTTTACAGTGGTTCTATATTCAACTGCAAGCTACCAACATTAACCTTATTTCCATATAGTGAAGCAATCAGCAACCTTACTAAAACTACAATAATAACTTTCAATACATGTGAGATTAAAAAGTAAATAATTTTATGCTCCGTATCTGACATCTGCTGCATATCAATGAATTACTGTTTAGATTGATAAATCTCAATTCATTACACAGTACAACAGCTTCAGAAAGTATTCAGGCAACTTCATTTTTTACACACTTCATTGTGTTGTAGATTTTAATATTAATTGGATAAAACTGCTGAACTCTAATAGACCTCTGATAAGATTGTGGTGAGGTATAGAACAGGGTGAGAGTATATAAGCCCATTTCTAGATCTTTGGATGTTCCCAGTGGCCTCAACAATTGTAAAGGAGTTCAGAACCGCCAGGACTCTTCATAGAGTTGATTGTTTAACCAAACTATTTGTCTCACAGGAGGCAATGATGTTATTTTAGAGCTGGTATTGAAAGCATGTTAACATTTTCTACAGTATTTAAAGAATGCTGAGAGCGTGAGGCAGTGCATGAGAATGAGAGAAACAGCATTACAATTATTGGCGTTTTTTTTGTGCCACTTAAACATCAGGCCGTGCTCTGCGGGCAAGGCTGCAGTGTCTGTCACAGTGACTGGAATGGGGAACTAATAAACACATTAGACCCAACACAGGGAGGGCCTACAAAAAGTTAATTTTTATCTGTTAACTAACAAACCATTTTTCTATCTAAAACAATATTAGGTCCTCTTCCCCCCTCTGATACTCTGATTTTCAAATTTTTTGCTGGGTTTGTATGTGCGTGCAAAGAAACTGTCACACAGCAGTAAGCAAACAGTAAAGTGTGACTGACAACATCACAGATTAGATCTCTACAGCTAAACAATTTTTCCGCATGCTGCACTCTTGTTATGTAATATAAAAAAAAAAAGGAAGATGAATGAGAATGTTCATATGTTCATATGTTCTTTCTGGGCAACCAAGACAAGGAAGTCAGACTCAAGGCACACCTGCAAATCCTGATAATGTCCGAGGCCTGACACAATACAAGTGTGGCACATTTGTAGTAATTGGTGAGGAAAAAAATCCCACAGAACAAATGCACAAAAAAAAAAACCCTGGTGCACTTAATCAGTATTCACATTAAAATGTTATTTTGTGCTTGATCATAATTTACCTCATTAAGTTGAAGATAAAGATGAAAAATGACTCAAATAGAGGTAATTTAATTCCTTTATGTGTACCTGTGCATAGTTCTGTCTTCCTGAGTCTGTCTTTGCTCAGAGCTCAGGTCAAATTACAGGTGTTTGCTTGGATTCAATTTCTAGAACCAGATTTACAGTAAGAATTTTTTTTTTTTTTAAGCCGATAGAATGTCACTTCTTATCCTGCATGTTTGTGTCCATTGTGGAA